TTATTATTCTGTAATGAATGTTGTATATGTATATTGTTGAAGTAATTTTAATATGACGTTTGATTATTCATATATTCATTAGAATGTTATATTCTATTATAAATTTATGTATGCGAATTTTTGTTGTAAATTCTAATATTAGTTTTAACATGTGACTATTCATTGCTGATTAATGACAAAAAGTAGTAGATACAAAATTCATTGAAGAATAATAACATAACAATAGTGTTTTTACGTTCTCACATTATTACACAAAATTCTTGTATTATTGATTTTAATAATGAGATTGATTGTGTAAAATTAGGTAATGACAGCATTGCCCACTGTTGAATTGGATCCTCCAGCCATTTCAATGACTTTTGGTGTGAATGATTCTCCTTTAGCCGCGCTTGATGGTTCTCAAGTAAGAGAAAAATAACTTTTCTTCTTCTTCTTCTTCTTCTTCTTCTTCTTCTTCTTCTTCTTCTTCTTCTTCTTCTTCTAGTTTTCTCTTAACTTTTCAAGTAATCCAATGTATGTGTGCACCTCATCATCTTTAATGTGTGTAGTTAACTGGAGGAAATTGGTGATAGACTATTGGCTGAAGCAGCAACAAACTTAGCCATAAATGTAATCCCTGGTTTAGTAGAATCATATGAAGTTCAAAGAAGAGGAGAACTTCAATTAGGTCATATCATATACTTAAAAAATTACCAAAGAATTATATATGCTAAATTCCTTCACTGTGTGTATATAATAGGCATCTTGCTTGAGAATATGAGGCGTGAAAATTTTGAGCTTTCTGTATTCCTTCCAAGAGTTATGTAAGTTTTCTCTATCTTCTACTTCTTACATGAACTTTTAGGCCACATGATGATGATTATTTGTATAATTTATATGGTACAGGATTGTGAAAGGTGTGAAGCTAGAGCCAATTGAGGAAGTAACTATTGAGGTAAAAAAATAAAAACTGATTTACTATTTGTATTTCCCTTTACAATGATGATATGAAAATTTTAGATGATTGTTATATATTTAAGGTGAATGAAGAGCGTGTGGGAATGGTGATGGAAGCACTTTCTCACAGGCGATCGAGTTGAGGTTACTGACATGGGCCCTGTTGCTGGAAACTTTGGCGGGACTAGAATGACATTAACTTGTCCTTCAAGGTCAGTTTCGTCATTTTATTACCATGTTTTTTTTTTTCAAAAGTGATAAAAAGAAGTTGATTACATTTTTGTTAATTTGAGACTTCAGGGGACTCGTTGGTTACAATAGCGTGTTCAGCAGTGACACACATGGCACATGATTTATGCATCGTGCATTCATGGGTATGTAACGTATGCTCATTTTAATACTTTTTTTTTCTTTTTCTTTTTAACTTCTTGAATATTGAATCGGTGATTTTATTTTGGTAACAATATATTGTTTTTACAGCTTATGAAAAATATCGGGGTCCACTTGGAAACGTCAGGAAAGGAGTGTTGGTAAATATCACTTATTACTCTTATTACTTTTTTTTATTAAAAATATGATTTAAGGTTTTTGGTTTATTAATATATACTTAATGTAGGCTTATCAAATACTATTGTTATATCTTTGTTCCTTCCTACAAAGTCATTTACACAAAACAGATACTTTGTTGCTAACAATCACAGAAGTGCATGCAACATGGATCAAATTGGCTGCCTGCAATCCTCAAATGAGATCTCACTTTCCCCACTTCTCTCCAACGAATAAATGAGGGTTTCAATAATCAGAAAATGCAATCACAACGCTTCACGGTAGTCAATCAACCTGAAAAGAAAACATACAGACTATTCAAATCATAAGTTCAATCCAAAGAACAGTGCATCCTGAAAAAAAAACATCAGTATCTATTTGCTGCTTATTCAGGTTCTTAATTTATTAAAAAAACAAAATTCAAAGATCTCTTTATCAAGATCGTTGTGGAATGTGGTACAGCAATGCAATCCCAACACAAAGCAGTTTTAACAGCTATAACAACAAATGCAGGCAAAGAAAGAGAACAATACAGAAACTTAAAAACTACAGATAACAAACTCATACCATAAAAGTTAGATGTCGAAGGAAAAAAGAAGCAAATCAGAAAGAGATATTGCACAAACAAAATCAGAAAGTCAAATTGCATAAAACAGAAAACAATACAGGGAACCCAAATTTCAGGGGGAAAAACACATATTACATAAAAGCCAGATGTTGATTTCAGTCAAAAGAAAAACCATATAATATGCCAAAAAAGGGAAAAAAAGAAGCAAATGAGAAAGAGATATTGCAGATCCTAACAAATGAAGAATGGTCTGTGTTTTTCTTTAGATTTCTTTAGCTGTGTATTTTCTTTCTTGAATGTCAAATATAAAACCTTCTGTCCTAAATCAAAAGCAGATTTCCAAAGAATGAATATCCATCTAACAACATGGACATAACTTATGATGAAGGAATATACTAAAGCTAAGCGAAATTCTTTTATACCTGCATGACTAAATTCCTATAAGCACTCTTTATCTCTATTACAAACAACAAAATAGCATATTAGCCAACTTTACCAAATACCCCTTCAGGTGTGAACATTAAAAATATTAAAACAACAAAGTTTTATAAAAAAAACAGCAATCATATTTTACAATTACAATAATATCCATAACACATG